GTGTTTCTGTGTTTGGTAGGAGCGACGACTTGTAAGGTAGTTGTTTTATACAACAACCCAGTTGAATGGCACATGAGTAGGGTCTGGGGAAGGTGTGTCTACGCAGACCCTACACAAAAGTAGAGAGGCTATTTCCAAAGAGACCCCCTGCTCAAGCACCATAGGAGATGGCATACGCAGCCTGACTAAAACATAGGGTGGTGTTTCCGAATGACACATGATGATTGTCAAAAGTTGCATTGACTAACTGCTACTTCACTATAAAACAACTACCCAAAAAAATATATAACGCTAACTGTATGTTACTCAACTACGCTTCTTCTCTCCCATAGGAACTGAGATGAAAACGAATATTGTTGTTTCCCTGTTTTTAACCCATTGCAGCCACTGGTGGATATGTTAGCCATTGGCTTATACTGCCCGTTTCCCTGCCTGTTGCACCCAAAGATATCCACGCACTTGGATTTCTGCAATTCTGCTGCAATAAGTAGTAGGGTTCTAGGGTCCGATCCCGTGTTTTTATTTTTTAAAACAACCCAAGGCATCAAGCAGCCAACGAAAAGAAAAAGAGACTATTGGCTAAAAGTTGTCACAAAAGGGTGACCGTCATGGTGGTGAAATATGGGTGACCAAATGCGAAAACATCCCTGATAGTCATTAGTAATTGATGAAACCCTTTCTGGATGCTGAGTTATGGAATATAATTGCACCAAACAGCTTAATTGTATAGAGTAATTATCATTGAAACTAAATGACATGAATTTCTCTAAGATCAAGATAACTCCATCGACTTGTACTGCATTGTACAGAGTACTATACACAGAGTATAATACTCTATGTTTTTCTTTAAACTTGTTATCATTTGACTGGCTTGACATGCACACACTTTTAACACAAGTCAAAGAATTTTTACTCCTGCAGGGTCCATTCTCCTACAAACTTCCTGCTGATGATGTTTTCAGGGGCTCTCTAGATGCTAATCGTGTTGATGATATGACACATAATAGCATTATTGCTAGCACACTATTAGGAAGCATAGTCACACTCATTCCTCTGACAAGGTATGAAATAATTTGGTGTTTTCTTTGTAGTGTCAGTATGTGTTGAATATTGGGATATTGATGGGTTTGGCGGGTGGCGGAATCAATGATAGCCACCAGCTCGGAGCCAATGGAAGCAAAAATAAGCAGAAGGCCAAGAGAGAATAAATCCAATGCAGTATTTTGATTTATGAGTCAATTGTGTTTAGGTCACGTTAAGCTCGAACAACCGATTCAATCCTTTTAAGCTATAAAAAATAATCACTTGGACTTCATGATTGGTCTGCTCTTATTAGCCACAATCTTGTGGAACACGTTATGCGTTGACATATTGGACAATTATAAAAGTACACTCTGATGTACAAAGCATTGAGTTACTCTTCTCACGAGGTTGATCATTCAGGGTGGATCTTGATAGTATGTGTATTGGCTAGTATTTTTCGCGTAATTACACTACCTTCAAGAAATGGTAGTAGAAAATTACGAGGAGATCACAACAAACCCAACAAAATCCCACAAAAAGTTGGGTTTGAGGTGGATGTGTTTACGCAGGCCTTACCCCTACCCGGGAGTAGAGAGATTCTTTACAAGAGTTATCCGGCTCAAACACAAACACATACAAAGTAAACACAGTAGCATGAACAAAGCTAGAGCACCACACAAGACGATCGCACACAGACACTAGCAAGTAGCTACTAGACCCAAAGCACAGAAAACGCACATGCACAAGCTAAGACTAAGGCAAAAAGTACACCAACATACACTAAGGGCTTGTTCTCTTCAAGTAATAAGTAAAAAGAATAACTTGAAGAGAACAAGCTCTAAATTAAGGCTCAAAGGTCTACCCAACTACTATGGTCCTAGATCTCCAAGCCTTCATATATTAGATCATATCCTGGGTAAGATCTAAGTAGTTGGGTGGGAATCAAAGGTGAAAAAGGAAAGATGATTATTACTCACTAGTATGCGAACGTTGTTATGTTTGAAATAAATGAGAGTTATTACTATTCATGGAATAAATCATTCATCCATTGATATTCACATATATCACAGGGCAGAATATGAAATGCTAGAAGCATTACAATCAAGACTCGTAATTCATCCATTGACTGCGCCCATACTTGGAAATGACCACAGTGAGTTTCGCAGTCGTGAAAGCTCGGTATGTGCTATTTTCATTGATTTTCTCCTTGATATTGTTAATTAATCCCCTGGTTCTTAAATATCTGTTTAGACTTTCTACATACATTATGAGTCAAATGAAAATGAACATAATGCATGTCCACATTCATCTACACCATCTGTCGCACTATTTTTGAGACATAAGGGAGTAACTGTTTGAAGAAATTTTGGTCAATATGGGTAATGCCAAGTGAAGCTATTTGTAAGATGTCGACGTGAGGTTTATCGATTTGCAGAGAGGAGGAATGAGGATATTGGATGGTGATATGCTTGGTCAATTTTTGGAGCTAACTAATATGCAACAAGAAGCGGTGTTAGCGTTACCACTCGGTTCACATAACACAATTATCACGTTAACTTCAAAGCCTCCGCCTGCTCCTATTACTGTTCCTCAAGTTGTGCGCCTTCTCGAGCGGGTTCACTATGCCCTGAACTGAGTCTCAAAACATCAACACATAAGATCGAACCGAAAGTTGGTATCCTTTTGTTGTTGTAAGAATTGCATATTAATCACATGTCAATGTGGGTGGGGGGGGGGGGGNCTTTGTAGTGATTGCTGAGTTTGTAAATTTTCTCGCTTTGAATGTCACAACTCACTCTGTACCCTGTCCCAAAATAAAGTTGTGAAATTGTGTGGTCGATGTTTGTGCAGAGAGAAACTATATGAACCACAAAATATGCTTTCTTAAACAGAAAGTGGAACTTTTTTTGGGACAAGCCAAAAAAAGTGCAACTCTGTTCTGGGACATATGTAGTGCTCGTATATAAAATGTAGACTTTGTGCTTTGCATTTATTTTTCCCATAATCTATGTACTGTGATTTGTGAATGCTTGTCAGTTGTCACTACATCTTTATGCCCATTTCACTATATATATTAAATTATTTTTAATTCAATTTATTTAAACTTGGTGTGAGATTTTTTTTAAAAAATATATATTCGAAAATTAAGTTAAAAGTTCTACTCCTTAAAAAATAAGAGATGATATGATTATTATTCCATATTTTATTACAACATTTGATTAACAAAAAAGATAGAGAAACTAAGAAAGTAGTCAAAGTTTGAACAAAAAAGTAGTACATTGTTAGGACATGTTTGATGGTATGATATGATTTTGAAATCTAAAAAAATGATACGAGTTCAAAAGTGCAAAAAAATGGTAATCCTTTTGTTTCATTTTAAGTTGCATGTAGTTGTTTAGGATATTTGACTAAATTTATAAATAAATTTGTATAAAAATGAAGATAGTATTAAAAAATTAAATTTATATATTTAAAAAATTATATCAAAAGTTTTACAAAATAAAAGATAATTTAATTTAGAACGAAGAGTAAAAATATTGAAATCTGACATAAAAGTATTTGAAGGGATCTAAAATTTAATATGGTTGTTAGTGACATGCGACGATAACGGGTTGCTAGCAATTAAGGAAAATAGTGAACTCTCGTACGTATTTGTATCTCTCGTACACAAATAAATAAAGAATGTATTTGGTTCAACAAATTTAAAAATTAAGAAAAGAGAAAATGACATAATTTTTCTGGTGTGATAAATAACGTTATTAGTGTGTAGGGCTGATAAATTTGTGGAGTAACATGTGGAGTTGCAACAATTACTGTGGAGAGTAAAACTAATGAAGGTCTATATGCTTTTTTTTCAACTGATCCCTCCCACTTCCATTTGTATATGTGGCTAAAGTGTAGCCATTTATATGCTGATGCATCTATTTTTACAAAAAAATGTTTTTTAATTAAATACTACACCTCTGTTTTACTCCCTCCGTCCCGTTTTAAATCGCTCATTTTGACTTTTGAGCATATTTAAGGAAAATTAAAAATAGAGTTGATTTTCCGAAAATGTCAATACTTTTTAGGAGGTACGATGATGAATGAGAATATAACGTGGAGAAGAGTGACTTATTTTAGAGGTAGTTTAGATATTTTATTTTTAAAAGTTTTTGAAAACAACTACTCCGTAACAAGCAACTTATTTTGGGATGGAGAAAAAAGGCAAACATGCAAGTCCCACCATCACCTTAGTCTTCACAATCATCGTCAACCCCACCACCGCCTGTGGTCCCACCATCGCCGTGATTGTGGTCTAGATCTAGAAAATAGATGGAGGAAAAAGAAGGGGGAGAGAGAAGAAAGAAGAAATATAGATCGAGACTCACCATCTCCGCTGCTGTCTTCATCCCCACCATCATCGCCACCATCTTCATTCCCCCATCACCACCGCCGTCCTTAGCCCCGCAATCGCCACCATTGTCCTTACCCCACCATCACAGATCTAGACAGCAAAGAAGAAGAATACGGAGGAGAAGAAGACGAAAGGGAAGAAAGGAGAAAAATAAGAAAAGCAAAGAAAAGAAGAAATGAAAAGAAAAAAGGGAAGAGAGAAATCTGGACAGACCAGCGGAGAAGAAGGGGGGAGAAAGAAATGAAAGAAAAAAGAAATAGAAGAGTGGTATTTAGGTATTTTGTGTGTTAAAATATGTAACGAGAAGATTTATAGCGGACAAATAAAAAAAGTTAATGAGTAGATCTATGAGGAAAGGAGGGAGTACTAAAATATATTTCATTTCCAATATAGTACTTAAACATTTTTATTTCATAAATAGTACTTGAATAGTGTCTAGTAGCAAGAACAATGTCCAGTGATGATAACATTTAGTTTGAACAATGTTTAGTGACTATGGACATTTACTTGAACAATAACTAGTAGATATTGAACAATGGTATCACATTGGAAAACAAAAACATGTAATACTTCACCAGTGAAAAGTCACTATATTTTATTGTTATTTAGGTAAATTTCCCTAACATAAAATGGGACAGGGTGAGTTGGCATTAAACCACCAGTGATATTAAAAAAAGAAAAAGCGAAACAAAACCTATCACACCCAACTTCAATTACATTATAATCTTGTAAAAAGATCAGTTGATAAATTACAATAATAAGGAGCCTAAGGGGAAGCAAGCAAATCTTAAATTTACATCTCAGGTCTCAGTATTTCCTGTGGTCATTTTTCTCAAAAATACAAAACATGATTCGCCTAATCCTACAACAAAATTTCCAGAACGAAAATAGCCTTCAGCGGGATACCTTCGAAGCTTCTTACAGTGAAGCTAGTGGTGCCCAAGAATGCCATAAGAGGGTTGTATCATCACAACTCAAGAAAGGGTATCGGCATATTCCGTGGCTTTTTGCTTCACGTATTCGATCCTATCTTCGTCTCCGAGACTTTTCTCATACGCGAGATACTTCTTGAATAGGAACTGCAGCCACATGGTAAAAAGGTTAGAGCCTGTTTGGGATGACTCATAAGCACAAATTGCTTTGTTATTTAAGAAGTTTTTCCCTATTTTTTTCATAAAGCTTCACTAATCTCAAGCTTTTTCAAATATGGAAGTACTCATTCTTTGAAAATATAAGTCACCCTAAGTGCAGTTTCCTCACTGTCCCATTATTATCTTCCTACTTTCCTATTTGTCACAATTTTCTTCCACTTTCCTCTTAAGGAAATAATTATGTGATTCTAATCATTTCTCTTTCCTCTACCCAAACCATAACCACACATTCTCCTTTATCATAACCGTGCGAAGTCAAACCAAGAAGAAAATTACGAGACAGAGGGAGTATGACACTAGTGCGTCCCCATGATAATGGTTAGAGTCTGTTTCAATGACTTATGCAATGGAAGTGCTTTCAAAAGAAGTTTTTTCCAACTAAATTCGTATTCTTTTCCAACAAGCTCCACCAATCTTAACTAAACAGCTTTCTTCAGAAAGAAATTCATTTTTTGTTTCCTTTCCAAATGCAGCTTTTTATCCTAAAAGCACTTCTTGCTTAAAAAAGCACTTGTTCTTTGTATTAAGTCACCTTCGATAAAATGTCACCCAAATCGCAGATATATCTTTTTTTAAAAGATGATGATGTATCAGTACTGCCTTGAAACTTGAAAGATAAATTATGACACGTCATACCTTCATCTTTTTAGGCGGGAGGCTAAGACTTATAGCTCTTTCAAACAATGAACGAGTCACATCTGTATCACCCAACCGAATTTCCTGTAAATGTCATACCAACCAGCTCATGAATATGCAGTGAAAAGAACTTTGATTTTCTATACATAAAGAAGGATGAACAAGGCATACCTGGTCAAGATATACACTCCACAAGTCGGTACGCTTTGGATATTCCCTAAGCATTCCTTCAAACATAGATCTTCCTCTATCAGCGACCCCACATTTGAACTCGAGAATTGCAATCTGAGTTATGAGTTTGATATGTTTGTGCTTGGAAAGGCACAGAAGGGCACGGTTCACAATTGTCTGGATGTTGTCGCGGTTTTGCTTTAGAAGCCACTGCACATACCTCAGCCAAACCTAAATGACAATAGAAAATGAAAAATCAACACAATGAAAACAGTGTAGCCACTGCTCTAAACAGTGCTAGGTGGGAGCGGGGTAAATGTTGTGGATCGTGCATATGGTTAGGCCTAGACTTATTTGGAGTGGAGCATGCTGCATACGCCAACTTCTGAATGCCATAAATTTGGTGCATGATAATATGTGGGCCCATAAGATATCAAACATTCAGGGCCTGGAATGATCTGCCGGCCAGTTTTGTCCCAAAACACAGTTTAAACAGCCTATGAACACTTAAGTTTCTGCTGTTTTTGCCCATTTTCACAATTCACCTGTGCTTTGTATTTGCGCTACGTTTTATTTCAATACTTTTATTTGTATACCATTGTATTATATTTTTCTTTGTATTTCCAATTTCTTCGATATCTTCATAGCAATTTCTTGCCATTATTACAACCTAAAGGTTGTATGAGATCATTTTCCAGATGCAATGTGTGCAGATCAAAAGGTTTTACTTTTTTTCTCATTCTCTGACATGTTTTCGCCCATTGCCAATGGAATCGGAAGAGTCGCCATTGACAGTGTTTTATAATAGACTAAATTACATTGGCTAATTGAAGTTACATTGCTTCTTACATTCTAGGAAGTTTTGGGTAGTACATGTTGACATGCACCGAGGGTTTAAGGGAAACCTCTCTTTGTATAGGGGGTAAGGCTGCATATATCTTGACCCCCAACCCCCAGAAGAATTGGATTAAACTGGGTAAATGTGGGTGGTGGTGTCTATAATCTCCCGACAAATCGACAATGATGTGGAGCATACACGAATTCAAATGGGGTTATATTGGGAAAAATGTAGATGACCCAAGTGACTGTATAATTAAAGGGGAGAGTAGGTAGAGATTTTTAGAAATCAAGTAGAGTAGATTAAATTTCGATAAAAGTCATACGGAGTAAAACAAAATTTATAAGTGTACTTTCTAACATTCATACCTTGCAGGAATGCTTGAACTTCTTCACCATCACCTCTAGCAGCTCGTCTGCCAGGTTGTGGTGCTCAGATCTTTCATAGACGCCCAATAAGGCTAGGTGCAACTTTTTAGGATCCACGTACTGCAATGCTGTTTTAAATACTTTCGCAACAGCTTCCTAAAGAGGAGATAAATTACTGAGTTTTTAAACGTCAAAGAACAACTTAATGCCATTACATTTACTTTTCTAAATACCTGTGGAGGATTTCCATATTCCATTTCCAAATTGAAATAAGCAACCCAAACATTTAGCTTTTCAGACTCTTCTCGAATGTTTATTGTACTCAAAGCCCTGCATGGAGAAAAAAAATACAAGATTCCTATAAAGTTAGTCTATCTATACAAGAAAAGTAGATCAAACGAATAGAAATGACTTGATTTGATTAAGAAGCAAATCAGAAAGACAATATTTAGGGTTTTTTTAATGAGATCCTCTGACAAAATGACTGACCTCTCAGCTATAGATCGAGCCTTTTCTACATCAGACATAGAAAGCATGAAGGCCATGTACTTTATCCACACAAAGCTGCTATTCGGAGAACTACGAACTAATTTCTCAAACTCATCGGTATTCCTGGGAATATCTTTTTCAAGCAGTCTTCCCTCAGCTGCCCTAATTTCTAGTTCCCTTCATCCAACATAAGCAATATAAATTATAAAAAGACTTAGCAATGGCAATTATTGAACTGCACGAGAAATGCAAATCAATTAAGATATCCTTACCTCTCTTTCTTTGCCTTCTTCATTGCACGCTTCTTCTCCTTCCCATCAATTATATTTGCACCACTAGTCTGATCTGGATCTTTGTTGACAGCATCCTCAGTGTCTGAGTTTTCTATATCATTAAGAGGGACTTCAAGTGGAGGAATGGAGGCTCTAGATTCTACTTCAGTTAGAATATGGCCTGTTACATCTACAGCTGAAACCTCAAAGTTACAGAATCTTGCAGATCCGTTTTCTAGCAACACTGGTGAGTTTGTACTGATGAAAGTGGCGTCCCCTTTGGAAGTGCTGTTAGTAATGTCTCTTGATGTTGTTTGAATAGATTCACTATCCTCATCTCGAAAGTATGAATTTTTCATGCCAAGGGCTATTCGGTGCATTTCCTTATCCACCTGATGTTGACACATAGAGGTGTTTAATGAAAGGTAATTGAAGGAAACCCCAAAATTTGCACATCAGTTTCATACAGAGTATTTTATTTTTATCGTCCATCTAGGAAACAATATTAATTGATAAAATAAGAGTAAATATGGCAATGCCACACCTTTTGGTCAGATTCTTTTTGCGAATAATTGATGTTTTTTAGGCGAGGATGTGTGGGTGTAGGGTGAAGCAAAGCAACAAACAGCAAGTTCTGAAACATGTCACCATTAGAACCTTTACCTTTAGAATCTTTGCTCTCACAGTATCTCCAGCATTATATCTAGTTTGGATATTGTCCACACGCTCATCACAAAGTTCTGAAACATGGCACAAGCCAACCTAGGCAAAGGAAGATGGCAATTGTAAGCACACTGTAGAAGGGTTGGTGTGTTGGGGTGGGGTGGGAGGGCACCCACTCTATCGCAACAAAAACGTATTATTTATGGAAACAATAGGTTTGCAAGATTAAAAGAACGAAAGATAAAGTCTATTTAGAAAGGGGTATAATAAAAAAATACAAAGTCTTTTGCTTCTTATTTGCAATACACAAGAGGCTTTTTGTTATTATACCAGATTTGAGTGATCAATTGAAATAAACAGCCCATAAGGTTCAACACGCTTAATTCTCCCCAAAATAATGGTTCCAACAGTGATGTTGCTGAAAGCATCAATGTCGGACTTTTGGGATGCAACTGATCTTGATGTTTTCAGAGTAACTTCAACTCGCCCAGATAATGGTTCAACTGATACCACCCTGCAGTACATAGAAAACTTAGTCCATTGCCATCAGAAGCACTCAAGCACAGACACATAAATCTAAATGGGCAAACTTACTTTCCAGTGACAAGCTTTCCCACAGGGAATTCTTTTTCAGGGTTTTCAATGAACCCATCAGACAAATTTGAGACTAGAACTCTTGCATCAACCTTGCGTGAGAGCATTATGAAGCATCCTTTTGGAGTCACATTCTTTACATAACCCTGTTACATATACAACCTTGAGGTAAAATTTCATGTTGATGTCATACTATCTTACAGGGACTATCAAATGAAAAAAAGCCTCTTTGATGCAAAACCTTGGCATAGAAGCCATGAGTGTTAGTATTAAGCACTAGGTGTTTTGGTGTAAGGTAGGATTGGGGACAGGCAAAAAATAGGCAAGGTCAATTGGGATCTAAGGAGAGCCTAGTGCCTGGAATCCAAGATGTGACATTATTGCTAGACTGCAAGATGTGAAAAAAACAGATGGAGGTGCCTAATGGATTTATGATATGGGCACGTTAACATGACTCTGGATAACCATTTAAAATATTGAAAATAGTATATCTAAAACAATTGCTCCCTCTGTCCTTAAATTGTCTTTACACTTTCCTTTTTTGTGTGTCCTTAAATTATCACTCAGTCCCTCTTAAGGAAAGCAATATTGACTCCCCAAAATTCAAAGAAACATTGATCAGTAAACACAAGATTAATTGGGAAACCAAAGTGCAATGACTTCTGCAGCTCCTAATTACTTGTGTCCTAATACTTTAAAAGGAGATGGCATTGATTAAAAAAAGAATAGTAGCTCTTATAGACATAAAAGGTATAGTATACATCTTACAGAAAGCAGAATTTAATGAGAGTGTGTATCACTCAATCCTCACCATAATTGTGTTTGTGTCAAATATACTTCGCAAAAATGTCTAAAGCATAAGAGAACGATTGTCTATCTACCTGCACAGTCATATCTGGATGAAGATCCTTGATGTCTAGTACACTTCCCATCCGAGATGGCCTGTAAACAATTTAATAACAATTAAAAAAACAATTTAATTACAATTAAATAATGCCTCCGTCCCACTATGAAATTCAATCTTTGACTTTTTTTGTCAACCATGGAATACTTTGATTGATATATTGAATTTACATACTTTGGCAAAAGTTGTATATTTATAATTTTATGAAAGTGTTTTAACAAAGAACATTTTCATATTATTTTGATATTATGAAATATTTCTCATAAGAATATATTAGTAGCAAAAATTTAATACAGTTCACTAAAAAATCAACAGTGGAATTCCCCATTGGGACAGAGGGAGCAGTACTGAAAAACTCTCATGATAAAGCAGTCAGGAAAACAGAACCTATCTCAGAATATTGATATTTCAACAAAGTGTAGAAGTGTAGAACTCCATAACATCTATACTCACCCCCCCCCCCCCCAAAGTCACTTGACTCTAAAAGGCACACGAGGAATAAAAATTGAATGAGCAAAATGGAATCAATGTTCAGGCAAAGCAATAGCAGTTGGTGGTAATGTTTGGGTACTATCATTAAACTTACACATTATCCTGCACAGAAATATCTTGATTGTTCGTGGCATCTGAATTCCATCGTAAGGAGAGATCAATGTGAATAGTACCATTGGCTGAAAGACCGACTTCTAGGGCCTTGCATTTGACAAACTGTCCTTCACTATAACTAAACACTGGATCAGAGACCCACAGGTCACATAGTTCAGTAAAGTGAACCTTGCCAAACAGGTGCACACCAATTTGAATAAGCAAGCCACCAACGCCGGGGAAGATTTTGGAAATTCTGCCACCCAAAAAACTGCCTTTGCGAATATGGCATCTCTCACTTTCAGCTGTATTAACTTCTTCGGGTGTAACAAGCAATGGCTGAAGAACTAAACGCAACAATCTCTTCTCCTTGTTAACACGTAAGACATAACCAGAAACAGCCTTACCAATAAAGAACCTTTTCTGGAACTCTTTGAGCTCACTAGGTTCTGCGGAGCTGTCTAAGATATAAATCTGTGCTCTAACATCTCGAGATATAGATAGCCACACCCATTCACTGTCCACTTTATACACAAAACCAGATATGAGTTGGCCTGTTGAGTAATTGAAATCATCGTGCGGAGTATTTATATCCCTTGGACCTGGTTATGCAATGGATATTATATGCCAATAGTTAGGGTTCCCAAAAGAAGAAAAAGAAAAGGAAATTAGCATTGGATCATTGTGAAATTAACTGTATTGTCGAACTTCACATGATATTTTTAACATTTAGCAGTTGCGAAGCAACATGAGATTTGAGTGAAAAAGAACAAAAGTTTTGATTCAAGCCCATCAAAAACACGCTGCTAACTGCAAGATTTGACAGATCATAATATCTAAATGTATATGTACTCCACCAGTCCACCTCATTGTAATACACGTATAATGTAAACATGAACAAAAAAATACTTTTATCAACAGCAGAAGAAAGACACGGTGCATTTCCATTTCAAATAACTTAACAAAAAACCCAGTAGTTGTTATAAATGCATACCAACTTATATAGTGGATAAATGGCCTGAAATACTATCATAGGCACCTAAAGAAAATGAATGCATGATTTAAAAATATAATGCTAATAATAAAAAGGTAAAACAGTAACCTGCAAGCACAGAGGGTTTGGTGGATAGCTCCCACACAGAGCTTGTTTTAGTTTCAGATCTACTGCCCTTAGAAATGATTCTTGCATCCAAAGTCTGTCCTATTCGGAAGTGACTAAGGGGGTCTTCTGCAGCATTATCCTCTGTTACCTGTTATAAATTTGATGCAAGGGAGAGAGAAATAACAAGAACCAGTCAATGTTTTTCATAGAACAGTTAGAAAGAATTGGAAGTTTACTTTGTGATGACCCAAGAAACAAAGTGGGAAGTTTACTATGGGACAGAGGGAGTAAATAAATTTAAATAAAAACTGTCATGAATGGAAGAGCGGCAGGTACGACAACCCATCTTACCATCAAGAAAAAAATAAACAGAAAGCACAACATATTTACCTCAGTTATGTGTACTCTACCATGGAATCGAGATCCAAATTTCACTCTTAATTCAAAAGGCTTTATGTCTGTGATCTGTGAAGCATCAATAACAAACAAAACGGTTAAGCAGGACGTAAAAAAAGCAGATGTTTCAAAACTCCGATGAATTTCATTCTCAAATGAAATAATGCTTACTTCTGCTTGGACAAGAGATCCAACATCATAGCTAGAATTCTTTTTTCCTCTTTTTGAACTTGAACTCGCTGAAACATTTCCCATAGCTTTAAGCAGCAAAAGCAATCTCCCGCTAGTTGAAGGATCAGGAAGGGACATGATGGTTGCATTGACACTGCACAGAGTAGATTACCCATTTCATCTCAAACTCAAAACCAGAAGTTTGCAATTGCGTCCAACTTTTCCCACATCACATGAAAATCTTGACCAAACATTTATATTTCCCCTCCCCAGACCCACTCTAGCAGGCTTTTATCGGGTATGCAAGTATGTTGTTGTGACAGCGTTTTTTGATATACTTTTTTAGAGTAAATTCCCAAAATGGTACTCAATAATTACATGCTTTCTCAAATTAGTCCCCAAGATGAACAAATTACCAAGATGAAACTCGTCAATTGAGAATAATGCTAACTTTCCTCCCCTCCCAAAAGGTCTATCAAGAGGGCGTAAAAACCTATACTAATTTATATAAATGTTCCTTTCTAATTGGGTGCTTTCTCGAATTGGTCAATTTTTAAAATAAAAAATAAAATATGGAAAAATAATTTTAAATTTTATAGGACGAGAATATTATAATTTTATAAATTTGAAAGTAAATGTTTCAGAACGTTTACAATTATTTAGAAGAATGTCATGTAAATGAAATATTTAATAAACGTTATTTATTTTGAAATAAGGTTGTTCTTTTGGTTTACAATATCTAACGGAACTTATTTTCAAAAACCTATACCTGAAAATTGGTCTAGAATTTAAAAAAAGTATTAAAAATGTACACAAGAAGTTCTACAAACAAGTGGTTACATGACTATGTTTTTAAATGATCGACAAAAAATGTATTAAGAAAATAGATTTAGTTTGACCCTGTGAATAGTAAACATGAACCTTATGTGGGGATGAATGGAGTATTATTAGTCATGGTAATTTCATAATTACCGAACTCAATTTTATGTAAATATAAAATTTATACTTAATTTTCGTGAAAATTATTATTATTTCTCAAACTGAATCTCATTCATAATACTTCTTTCGTCCATCTCGGTAATTAGTTTATCTTGGGGACTAATTTGAGAGTACACGGTTATTGAGTATCATTTTGGAAATTTACTCTTTTTTACTAAAAATAGTTGGACAGCGGACACTTAGTCATCAATAGTAGTAGTATTGTGTTGGAATTTCTACCCTACTTATATAAGAGAGTTTTGGGGGTATTGTATTTCAATAATGGAAGCAGAAGTGTCAAAATAAGTAATAGCACTGCAGGGGCAAGTGGTCAACAGTAAATCATTCCCATTGATTGACGGGGGTGAGGTAGCATACATCTTGGCCCCCAGCACGAACAGAGTTGGGATTATATAGACTTTTGTTGTATAATAAAATTGAATATACTATATTATTAGCTTCTCAGAACATATGCATTTCCCTTTTTAGCATTTGCAATCTGCAAGATAAATAATGAGCTGCACAATCAGAAACTAGCTGGAGAAAAAAAGATAACCTTTTCCCAATAACAAATTGAGTCAATGAGAGATTTTGAGTGTTGAAATCATTCGAAGATGCATAACCCAAGGCGTTATTGCATGCTGGAATTGAAAGAACCTGTTTTGTGCATCCACATGTAAGAAAGAAGTCGCTGGCAATAATCATGTGCAAGAAGTCAAGAACTAAAAGGATATAAACCAAGTAATCTACAACAACAGCATTGTGCAGAAAAACTTGCCACATAATTTTCCTTGACTATCTCCACCACTGCATTAACAGATTGATTCACCTCTAAATCTTGTTTATCTTCGACTTTGCGTTTCTGCGACATGGGATTCACAGGGGGGAAAAATAAGCAGATAGCCAAGGGGGGAAAAGATAATTACAAGCAGAACTGAGGATATAGGAGACAGAAAATGTTTTTCAAACCTTTCTCCGAATTTTTTCATTTGAAGCCTGTGGTTTTGATACATTAACAAATTCGGGCTTTAAAGATAAATCCAAGAGGCGCTCTGTCTTGGAAACATCAATTACTGCAGCTTGAATGGTAGAGCCTAAATCCACTTTGACTCCACCCACTGAAAATAACCCAGAGCACATGTTCAGTTTCAAAAAAACAAAAATTAACACTATGTTTGGTTCAAGGAATTTGAAATGGAAAAGAAAAGAAAATGAGATGGAAAATAGCATTTCTTGTTTGGATAGAGAGGAAAAGAAAAGAAAAGTGGAAGGAAAAGGAAATGAGAAGACAAATATATTAAGAGAAGGGAAAATCAAATTCTTCCCATTTTGGTGAGGAAAATGAGAGAAAACCATTTTCTTTTCTTTTCCTTTCAAATTCCTTGAACCAAACATAGTGTAAGTGTTTCAAGCATGGTTTCTTCATCAACTTACACTGGTACTCTGAGATAAATCCAAAAACATCATCATATTTGTCAAAAGTGATAACAACACCAAATTCTTTTATTTCATGAACTTTTCCCTCAACGATGCTACCAAGAGCAAACTCATCTGTCCAACTCAGTCCAGTATCTGAGCCCAAGGATGGAAGCTCAGCAATCTGTTTTGCACGCAGAGGTTAAGATAAACTCATGTTTGTATGAAATAGGGAAAAAAATTAAATGCTACGACAACACAAAGTAATGATTCAGGTATTTTGACTTGGAAGAATACTGAAATTACCATTATCATCGCCAACACCTTAACCCCAACTAGGCTAAGATCGGCGGATTGAAATTCAAGGTGTTAAATTAATTATCTTAAATTAGTTTACTACTCCCTCTGTCCCTAAAGAAACTTCACCTTTACTATTCACAAAGTCAAACAACATTTTCTTTCTTCACTAGTTTGTGCTAATCATGTGTACCAATAATAAAATAGTCAAGCCATGCTATATTCATATTCATGTTTAAAAAGAAAGGCAAGTGTTATGCTAGATACTCATTGTAACAACCTTTAACAAATTAATAAGTCATTGAAACTCAAAATGACATCATCATGTGTTTTTCCCTCTTGCAAGGAAAATATTGGGTGTTTTATGTTAGAAGTATACTGAAACTTAAATAAACAAAATTAAAGGAAGAAAAACAAATGGGTCTCGAAAACAGTCATAGAATCTACTTCTATAATTCCATGCCTTATCACAGTCCATGTTCTAAGCTTCACTAGACAACCTGCGCCTTTTAAATTGGCCTTGTCAAATCTTATCTATGTTCAGCCATCAGGTGACTGCCGACTCAGTCCCCACAACAACAGCGACAACCCAGTTTAATCCCAAAACAACCCAGTCCCCACCTTAACACTATATCTCAATATGTTTAACATCTAGCAATCTAGCAATGTATTATTTATTGGAGCACTGACACCAACATGCCATTTAAAATAGAATGTGTATCTTTCCATGCCATAATGTATATCTATAAACTTTAAGAATGTATTGCGAGATGTGACAAAAAAACATCCGGCATAAAAATTTAGCAACCATGTTTTTTGCGTGGGCCCAATTTTAGAACATTTAGACCCTATAAATTTCATGTCACCAACACAGCATCGTTGGGATTAAGATGGTGGTGACAACAACTTATAAGGTGTACACTTAGTTTAATCAGTTTCAATCAAAATCTAAAATTGTTATTACAGGCATAATAAGAATACCTTGTGCTCAGAAAGAAAGTATTCTTGAATAAATGTAGCATCCGTTGAAGAGCATAATGACTGCTTCAAAGATACTGTTATTCGACCAGATTCGCCATTAGCCTGAAGAAAAAAATTTAAAATTTTAAAAACCCCAATAAAGTCTCTAAATGTTATTACTTCAAAGCTCCAGGGTGAGCAATTAGCCTACATCAAGTATGTTTGTACGAACTGATTGCCCAACATAGAAGGTTTCAGAAGCTTCAAACCTCCTGTCATCAGTAGCCTGTATACAACAAAGAGTGCTTGATATGGATAAGAATATCAATAACATGATGCTCTCCACTCTGAACCAAGCATTATAAAATATAAATGACATTTGCAAGCCCCAAAAGTAGCCAGTTGACAATACCTTGCTTCTGGGACAAAATCCAGTCAAACGTCCTAGAAAGCGAACAAACACACCACTCTCAATTATGTTACAAATGTACCCCTGATTCAATAATAAAAACTTTCATCAGAAAAATGCAAGAATCATAAAAACTAGCACAAATAAAGAATTTTTTTCCTAAGTTCATGTTTCCCATTCATTTTTCGACGTGTCTGCCCTTATATAAAGACAACAGCGTTCCCTCCCACTATGTATTGGCCCCTCCTAGTATGCCTCTCACAGTTTAACCCAAGCTTACTTTAGTTTGGTTTTGGATACACATACTTTTTTGAGATAAACATAAGTCAGTGTAAGTGCATAAGTATGTGCATGTGTGGGCACAAGGGTGCTGGAATGAGCTAATGAAATTTATGAATTCTTCATTTCACTAGTAACCTCTGCTTGTTAACCTTAACGGAGAAAACGAAATATGCGTAGAGAAGAGCCAAAGAAATATAGAATAAAATTAAGGACTTTGACTTTCTAGTTTCTATCTTGTTAGACAAGGGAAAACTCTTAGAAAATAGAAAAGCTGCTAGATAATTCATCATTCCAGCTGCTGCATCACAGATTCACAGTAGATGTTTTGTCTGTGAAAGCATAAGAACATAAAAATAACCCACAAATAGGAAAGAAATTCTACAAAATGGGCAAGTGTGCTTACATGCACCACCGAATGGGGAGAAACATGACTAACATCCAGCGGAAGTTGCGCAGCTGTGCTGATGAGTGAGTATTTGGCAGAAAGTACCAAATTGCAACCTTCAATATCTACAACAATGTAAATGAAAATATTAATATATACACAAAGAATTTAATTTTTAAGAAATGTACGGAGCATTCTCCTAGCCACCCCTAAATTATAAGCCAAGAAGCATCCCCACTTTTTGTTTTATCTAGCTTGAGTATCTAGGGACATACATTTAGAGGGATGCTCACTGAAACAAGTACAGCACTCTTAAACTAGATTGACATAGAGTAGATGTACATATAAAATGGACCCCAAAATTTGAAAGTGCTGCTAAAAGAAGGATGCAAGATTACCGAGAACCAAAAGCTGGTCAAATTCAAATCCAGGCTTCAAGACAGACTTCATTAAACCGGCAAGACCTGTACGATCATGAAATTTGTGATGAAAAATAATAATTTGCAAGTGCAGAGTGATTTACATCCTGATACACTCTGGTGTGGCCAAGAGAAGTATCAGCAAACATGAAAAGAAAAAAACATGATGCCAATGGTGGTAACACCTTGGAAAGAAACAACAAAAACAACAAATCCAGTATAGTCCCAACTCTGCTGGGGTCTCAGGGGTAAAGAAGTAACCAGCCTTACAGAGAATGTTTCTGTCAGACCTGTGATGCATTGATGCATTTACTACCCAACATTTCATGTACAGTTTAAAGCAAGGGAAGTTTAATGTGCCATTTTTATCTAGTCCATTTTTACCCAAAACTGAAACATTTCAAGAATGACTCTTTTAGCTCCATTGGTGATGGATGCCATTGAAAAACAAACAATAAATAAAAAATTAGAATGAAAAGCTAGAGTATAAGGTGTACCACGATGATCAGATAAATGCTCAGGATGAATGGTTCCTTTCAAACCCATTTGAGCATTGTTGATGATTACCACAATAGCATCAGGCGTAACTAGTTCAACGGCTCCAGAAACAACACTTCCTAGTTTAACCATTTCATTCTCAGACAACCTGGAGAAGTGAAGACATTAAATAAACATGAAAGCAGATTAAAAGACTTCAAATGGTAAAACAATGAAAACCATAATCTATAATTTCTTTTCAATGGTTAAAACAAAAAAACGTAAATATAGGTACCGTTGGTTCAACTTATTTTTTCTGTTTATAACTTATTCTTATTAAAAAATAATGTTATTATTCTATCTATGACCAAATAATAATTACTATATGATTTAATCATGTTACATTATTAGAAGTTGCAAATAATTAAATAATAATTATTACTATTATAATATTATGTACAATTAAAAACTAATAATAATAATGTTACGTGTGGATAAATAATACTTTATTATTATTATTATTGTTGTTGTTGTTGTTGTAGTTATTTAAGTAACCATAATACTTTTTTGCCACTAAACTATCATCTTCTTTCGAAAAGTATGCAAAATTTTATATCTTTCAAAATGATTTTATTTTTAAAAAAGTATTGAAATAATAACTACGATTTGCATATATGAAAACTACAATATAAGTTCTACAAAACAAGTGGTGATATATCTATTTTATTCTATAAAATATTTAATGAAACTACACACGCAAACAAAAGTTATGTGAGGCCTGCAATAGTAAACATGGCGATATTTTAAGGGAAGAGGGAGTAATAATTTTAAGAATACGTACTACTCTCTCCGTATTATAAAAATTACTTATTTTATCTATTTTAAGTAACATAACATTTATATTTTCTACATCTTCAATATATTACTCAATTAATTTTTTGTTTCGTGAAAGGCATAAATCTAGAATAAAAGTTATTGGGTGTATTTTATATTGATAAATAAATTAATAATTATACATATGATCATCACAATGTTAAAAAATAATAAATTATTTTCATAGTTTTAACTTCATTTTGAATCAGATCAGATTAGATCCATTCAGATCAAATCAGATTCCATCAAAATATCAAATCAGATCCAATTAGATTAGACTCATTCAGATCAGACCAATCAGATCACTTTAGACTTTGGAAAAATCAAATCAGGCGGTGATCAGTCTAGACTTTGAAAAAATCAAATCACGCGAACGGAACGCAACCATAGTCGAGGCTGAAAAAACAAACGTAAGATGTGCATCGTTTTGATGTGACTAGAAGCCCCATAGTTCAAGAAACCCTAGAATATAAGGGTTAATATGACTTATGATTTATATACAGAAACAATAACATGTGAAAATACATCAGCAAAATATATGCAAACTTAGAAAACTCAAAACCTAAAAAAATTAGGGCATTAACTCTAGTCATTGGATGACATCAAGAGATTTTATATTGGTTCATGTAGCTGACATCTATGATTTGGGAATGCGGCTTTGTTGTTGTTCTTGTTGATATGTTGTTAGCTACTCAGAAGTCATAACCAGTTTGTATATGTTACTATATTATTTCAAGATAAACTAAACTCTCAAAAAGGTAGAGGAAATAATAGAGGGGGAAAGGTAAAATAACTTCCAAAGGAAACAAACCTCATTGGTGTAGTTGTAAAACTGAGGTTGATTCGTTTTGAAGAAGGGTTAGAACTGACAACTCGGCACTTAACAACTTGTTCAACATGATACATTGAGCTTATGTCACAGCCAGGATCTAATCCAAGTTCAAACCTGGAAAGATAAATGGATGAGAACTTAGTCACTAAACCAACTCCAAGATTCAGGTAGAAGCAGCAAAGGTAAACTGCTCCCATTATGGATAAGAATATATCTGGACACAAACAGTGTCCTGCTAAACTGCAACATTAAATCATTTAGTAATGATCAAGTGGTCAGTATAGTAATGCACTGTAAGGCCTAAACACTAAGGATTTCACCCTAAGGGGAGAAGAAGCAGGGCACTCCTTCAACTACTAAGAGTTGCAACTTTTGGCACAACATACTCATTGACTAGTTGTTGTGAGGACACAAACAAATAACTATAGTAAAATGTGAGCAACAAAAACGATTTACAGCATAATTGATCTAAAAACACTGAAGACTCAAAAACCACCCGCTTTCAAAAAGATGTAAGAAAAATAATAACTGCAAAAAATTAAAGTTGCTGCTTTTCAATGATAATTTGCAACATGAAAGCCAATAGCAAAAAATTAGTAACACGGGTTATATAAGTATATAATGTATGCCATGTGACTATTAATAGACTCAGAGCCTAGAATCAATGCAGGATACATGCCCTATGTAAGACTCAAAAACTTAACCTAACATGGTAATGGGAGTAATGTCGTGAGTTCATAACCCCTCCTGATCCCATGACGCAAACAGCCCACTGAAAATGAATTGAAGGGAATAATGATGACAGGGGCAGACCGTGGAGCAAAACCTTGCACTCCATTGTAGAACCGAACAAAGCAACCATGTTTTTCAATCTTTGTTATCCATCCATGTGTTATCAGTCCCTCAGTAGCATCAGAGAATGAGCTGAGAATTTTATGTTTAGATTTAACCTACGAAATTCAGAGAGACCGCACATATTATATTAAACCACACAACTTAAAATGATGTAGCAGAACATTATGAAAAGACATGATATATACGTATAGATCAAAACATTAAGACATAAGAAGTGTCATACAAGAGTTTTCTTGTGTGTAACTGTAATCCTCTTCGACTTGCAGCCAAGCACACGAAAGACTAATTCAGATCCCACCTGAAAAAAGATTTTAAGAAACACCAGTAAGACAAGAAGGGAAAAAGGGAACTGAAAAAAAAGACAATTTATTAACAATATAGATATTAATCACCTGGAACTTCTTCCTGGGTTTTACTATTTCAAATTCTGACATATGTCGTAGAGGGCATAGCGCTTTCACACCACTTGCAAATTGCACAATGGCGCCAAAACTGTCTACAGTTATAACTTTAGCTTTTACCACCATTCCAGGTTTGACATCAGAGTGAGTAAAAATTGATCCTTCGAATGCACTGGTCTGTAGTAATTCCGGGAACAGAAGAAGGGTGAGTATAATGCACAAAGAAGTCAGTGAGAGTATCCTCTAAGATTGTATCCAAATACCTCTTAGGTTATGAACAAATGTGCAAGCAAAGAAAATCTAAACTTGGTTTCAAATTACAGAATACATACTCCAAAATCCAATGTATACACACACAGACTAGTAAGATGATGATTTCGCAGTTTTGGTGAGAAAACATATACGTTGGGTAACAATACTAAGTGAATGTTGACCAATTCATAGAACAAAACGTGTATATCCAATTACAAAAAGAGATGTGCCCATTTGAAGTATCCCTGAAAAGCATCCTGCTCCATATGCCTCTAATTTTATAGGAATATTTATCAGCAACAAGGGAGAGGGAGAGGGAGAGGGAGAGAGCAACCTTCAAAGAACCAGTTGCAAGTCCTTCTAGATGCCTAAACCCAAGAACTCGGAGACGTACAGTTTTACCCTCCTTGAAAGTTTTCTCCAATTTCTTCACTTCCTTACCATCTACTTCAGACACCTGTAACCTCGGAAATGTAATCAAGTCATTAATTTAAAAGTAAAAATATGGACTTTGAATGCGACATCAGTGTAGATGATAAAGGAGGGGCTTACATAAACATATGCTGGAGTGGGGACAGGAGAAGAGGGAAGTTCCAAGAGAAGACCAAGTTTCTTGTCAATCCTGATCACCTTTGCTTGCTCAAAGATATCGCCAGTTTTAACCAGCTGCACAGCACACAAGGTAACCATAAAGACAGTGTAAGGGGTGATACCCACAGCCTATCATTTAATGTTTCATGCAACACGCAATCTGAGCTCAAGCAAACAAGCTGGTAAATTAGAGATTTAGATGGGTTACTTAGAATAAAAGTGGGAGATAAATCAGTAGACCAAAAAGAGGATATTGTTTTTGACAACCAAATTTAACCATGTCAATACTCACAACCTCCCACCCAACCACCCACTCCAAAACAATGACCAACTGCCAACTATGGTCTACGGCAAACAAATGACAAATGAACCCTTTTTACATTGTTTAAGATAGACTTACCGTAGGCGGGGCCTTTTTATTGACCAGGTGAGGGTTCAAGGACAAACCCACAGCTCGAGTCAATGGATCTATAAATAATATCCGTGCATTAACCTGCAACAAGCCATAATACAAGTCAAAATGAATGGCCAGAAGAATAATTTATATGACTCATGTGAGCACAAATTTAGCATGCAAATCAATAAACTATTTGGGTAATTGTCAGCCTTAGTGTGCAACTAGAGAGAAATTTGTTGGCCATGTCTAACAGGTACTATTCTTAAACTGTACTTTTATTGTCTTACTTGCATTTTGAATATCTCATCAGTGTGCTTGAAATAATGCTGCACCTTATTCACCGCCCCCACTTGGTGTAAACCCTAATTTCAGTTCTAACTTTTAAGTGAATAGAACACACCTACACCTCTTACACACAAACACACAAACTTATGAATATAATACATTTGTCTCTCTATTAAGTTCTCAATTCAACTTTACAATCTTTAAAGTTGTTTTTAGACCATTACTATTGATAACTATATGATTTTTATTGTACAAATATATTACGGAGTAAAACAAACTCTATCTATAAAAAATTTCAATAAATATGTTAAAACAAATTCTGTAAGTGCAATTTCATGTTACATTAAAATTAACTTTTGAATAGTTAACGATCAAAGTTAACAAACTTTAACTCCAAAAGTCACGTGGAACTAAATTGAGGACGGAGGGAGCACTGAAGTTATTGGTACCAGATCTCGATAAACAGAAAACAGAAATCTAGAACAAGAACTTATTGGAAATCCTTCTCCAATTAATTGAAAAACTTTGAATGCATAAAATACAGAGAAACTATCCCTATTTATAGATGAGTTAACCTTGTCCACCAAGTTAAATCATCAGCCTTGCTCTCCAAGCATAACATCTCCTACTCCTACAAGCTATGATAATCTCAAATCCATCTGAGATATATCTCCTAAAATTATGACTGACTCTACCCTAATTATTAACAAATAAAGACTTCAACATAATTACAAAATAAACCCCCTAACTATTACTGAATGTCAAGATTGGTCCAACAATCACCCTCCCAATCTTGACCTTGAGTCTTCTTTTACTTCTTTGAGTCCTTCGAGTCTTCAATCCTTTCTACCCCAAGAATCTTTCTCATTTCAGCAAACTTCAGCTTTGGCAGTGCTTTTGTAAGAATATCAGCCCGTTGTTGATCTCCGCTGATGTGCTCAACTTTAATCTGCTCCTTTTCAACACACTCTCGTATGTAATGATACCGCGTGTTGATATGCTTG